CTTCAGTGTGGGAGGCTGCAACTAAGTCTGAAAAGCCTCTGCTGTGTCTTCAAACTCCATGGGAATTGTGCATGTCATATCAGAGCCTATGCAACTTTGTTTCAATTTAATAAATCTTTTCCTTGGAAGTTGGGCATCCTGGTACACACCTGTGATCCCAGCAACTTGGGAAGGTGAGGCAGGAGGATCGCTAGTTCAAGGACAGCCTGGACAACTTAGTGAGACTGTCTCAAAATAAAATTAAAAGGGGCTGTGACTGTAGCTCGGTAGCATAGTGCCCCTAGCTTCCAGCCCCAGCATTGAAAAAAAAAAAGGTTCCCTCAGGTCTTGCAAAACTGTCACTCGAGAGCGAGATGACTGAGATGATCGCAGCTCTGCACACACCCGGACGACCTCCGCACGCGGTGCCTCCATTGCCGAATGCACATTCACCTGGACGCCTCACTGAGCAGGCCAGGAAACAAGGGCCACACTCAAGGGGACCTTGGATAAGTCAAATCCTAGTGCCAGGGACAACGCACACCAAGACTCAGCTCCTGGTCTGAGTGAGCTCAAGGTCTCGCGGACAGAAAGTCAAAGGCCGTGCTTGAGGCCCAGTCCAGGCTGTTCCTAGTCCTGTTCCCTCTCTGTCACTCCTCATAGTCCCTAAAAGGCCCCTGTCTACACTGCTCATGGAGAGTGTTCAGTGGAGCAGGCAGGCAACCCCCCAGGTGGTCACTGATGAAACATTCCCAACATACTGATGGCATGTTGACTGACAGGTGGCCAGCTCAGCACCCTCAGGACACAGCTAGATGCAGACCTTACAAAGTCCATGTTGAAGGGGGGGCATTTCTCTAACAAGGCTTCACTTGATTCTTCCCTTGTCGCTTTGAAATTCACGTTTTTTTCTTTTTGTCCAACCTTCTCCCAGATCTTCTCCTCCCTAATCTCATTTTCTCTGAATCACCTCTTTAAAAGCCCCCTGTTCCTGCTGATGGGCAGAATCACAGCCTTTGGGACAGGAGTGTCCAGTGCTTCTCTTTTGCTAGCAAAACAATAAACTGTCTTTTTCCTTTTTCTCAAAACTTGTCCTTGTCATTGGATTGGCATCAGGGACAAGGACCGAGCTGTCAGCAACATTTTCTCTGGGGAGCAAGCCTGACTGGAGCTGCTGCTGATCTGACTGTGGAGAGACAAGCAATCGTTCAGCCATTTGAGAAGATGGCGGGAGTCAGAGGAAGCCCTAACGCAGCGAAACCTGGAACCAACATAAAAAATAATAATAATAAAAAACTGGGCAAACTCTCTATGGTCCTTTCTCCCAGTCACCTGTAAAAGTTCACTCCTTTTAGTCTTTTAGAAATGGGGGTCAAATTAGTGTTTTAGTGATCCCGTGAAACTTTCATCAGACCATTCGGTCTTGGTAACTTCTTAAGTTTTCCTCTGATTTGAGGGATTGAGATGGAAAAAAATCTCTGCACATTTTGAAGCTAAAGGAAACTTCTTCAGCCTGAAAGAAGATCCAGCGAGACTGGGGAAAGGCAAGAATGAGCCCAGGAAGTATGTGCAATTGTTTCACCACAGAGCAAAGTCATGGCGACTCTAGGACCTAGTTAACCTTTGTGGTCCTCAGTTTCAAATCAAATTAGAGAAAATTCGGTGTGGATGGCGAAAGGATGAATGAGACACTTTCTGTAAAGTTCATACCACAGCAGGCTGAATAAAGTGCTGCTTTTTGAGGTGCATACGTGGCAAGGTTAAAAACTCAATGCAGTGAGCCACACTTGGAAAGAATAACACAGAAAAGTTGTTGTTGTTTCCTGTATTTACTACTCTAGAGTGTGGAAGAGGCCCTCGACACATTATCCAGTTCTGCTGACCTCTCAGACCGACTCCCTCCCCTCCATCCCCCTTCCCCAGGTCTGCAGAGGGACCCTCTAACTACCTCATGTACAAGGTGAGAATTGAATCACCTTGTACATGAGGTACAAGGTGATTCAGTTCTTGGGCCCCTTTACTTCCTGCTGGGAGAGCCCACATCCTTCCTAGGGTCGCAGTGAAACTCTAGCCTCGCCCATCCTCCAAGTCCCTTCCTTACCAGGCCAGATCCCTCCATCTCTGGGCCAGATCCCTCCATCTCCATCTCTTTCTGATTCCCATTCCAGCCTCCCGGAAACCAAGTGCTGTCTCCCTCACCCCCAATCTTGTACTGCCCAGGTGACCTACAGAAATGCTACCCAGCACTAATCTTGCTTATCTCCCAGGACAAGGATGCCTGAGGCCAGAAATTCCTCTTCCTGCAGGCTCTCGAAATGGTTGGATCTAAGAGAGCGGCCAGAGTGACCCCAGGCAAACGCAACCTTCATTAGAACCCAAACTGCAGGCCCAAGGACCACCCCTCCCACCAGGGCCATAACTGTTGACAATGGCCAGGAGGAGAACCAGAAAGAAAGGAGCAAAAAGGAGTGGTGCTCAACCTCCTGGAAAATCTCCACCCATTCCCAGAAAAGACAGAAATATCCTCCCCTTCCCGGCCCCCCACCCCTTCCACCCCTTCTGTAGCCTCCAACTCCCCGGGGAGGGTAAGTGATTTGCAAGTCTCCCTCCCATTTCTCCTATTCTGACCAAGGATAAAAGTCCCCTGTGCTGCTAGCTGGGAGCTTGGTCTTGTTAGTGGTTCCACAATCCTGAGGGAAAAGAACTAGTTAAGGGGCAAAAACATTGGTAACATAAGCACATTAGGATGAGTGTCCCCCACTCCCAGATGTAACTTAGGGTTTACTCTAGGAAATATTTCTGGAATCCCTGACTTGACATCTGGTGGGTGTGGGGGGTCAGGTAGTCCCCTTTCAGTGTCCCCACAATGCTCTGTGTACACACCTGATCTCAGGGTGTTCAAATGACCTATTTAGGTTGCTACCCTGCCCTCCTCCAAGGCATAGCTGGCATCAGATTCATTCTTGCACCCCTAGTGCGAGGTAATTGATAGCCTGAACACAAGAATTTGGCCAAAAATGCTCCAATAGGGTTCTGGATGCTCTAATAGGGTTCTGTGTGAGAAGATAGAATAAAAGACTCATCTCACTCCTGTCAATCTTTAAGGTCTGGAAGGAAGGGAGATGGGAAGACACAGGAGTTATGGAACCCAAGTGTCCCCCAAGGGAGAACAACTAAGGCCCTAGCTGAAGGGGGCGGAGCAGCTGGCCCAGGAAGGCCATCAAGGTGGCCCCTCATAGGGGAAGCAACAGAGAAGGGAGGCTTCAAAGGATGGGGTTGGGTGGTGGGAAGCAAGTTCATAGCTGGGGATGAGATAGGAACTTGGGGATACAGAAAGGAAATTCTCTCAAAGGAAAAGTATCCATAAGCCATTGGAACACAGGCAACACTATGAACTGATGGAGAACAAAAGAAGCAACTGGTGAGCAATTCAGTCCTCATCCTTGGCCCACATCTTCGCCTGCAAAAGTGACCCAATGTGGGGCAATGGGCCAGCACACAGGGAGACCAGGGTGAACTGTGTAACCCTATCCCGACTCCACCTCCAGCTCGGCCCTAGCTACTGTGGAGCTACCGTCCTCCATAAATATTAACACCCCAAAGCAAGGTTTGCTGCTTCGGGCTCTCGAGATGACCCGCATTCTCCCTTGCCTGTCTCTGCTTTCCTAATCGAGTCTCTGCCTGTGCCTCTGACACATCCTTAATTTCTGCCACGACTTTGGTGGAGAACCCACAGGTCCTGAATGGAGGTTCCTCCAGGAACTCCCCGCCTCCTTCTCCAGCAGGAATGAGACTCCCGGCAAGAAGTGGGAGGAGGACCTTAGTAGATTAGCTGTTAATCATCTGTGAATCAAGGTTAAGCGAATTCTCCCTGAGGGAGAAGGAGACCAACCCCGCCAGGCAGGGGGAAGGGTCCTGGGTGGAGCCCTGTCAGGCCACCCAGTCACACCCAGCTCCCAGTTGTCACTCTGGTTACGAGAAACCCTGGTTCCGAGAGCATTCTCCATGCAGATTTACCAGAAGCCCCACGTATTTCAATACTGCATGGTTCCACGTGTGCCTTTCACTCAGTGTATGATTTTCCAAGTTCTCTTAAAGTATTTGTGAATTTAAATTAAGAAATTGCCATTTTGGTGGGGACACCCCTCCTCCCCCATCTTTGTCAGAAAATGAGTCCTCAGAAGGTTTACGGGGCCGGGGCTGGGGCTCAGTGGTACAGCACTTGCCTAGCATATGTGAGGCACTGGCTTAGATCCCCGCCACGACATAAAAATAAAAACAAATAAAATAAAGGTACTGTGTCCACCTACAACTGAAAAAAAATTAAAAAAATAAAATAAAAGGAGACAAGAAATCGAGGAGCAGACCAACAGGACTTCAGAGAATAGGAGTTGCATGTGCAAATTCCCTCAGGCAGTGGTTCCCAGTGGTGGGCAATTCTGTCCCTTCAGGCAATAACTGGAAATTTCTGGAACATGTTGTTAGGACTAGGGCTAGGGGGACTATTATGGCATCTTGCTGCTCAGCAGCCTAGCCCACGCAGGACAGCCCCTCAACCGAGAATTCTTTGGCCCCAAACCTCGATAGTAATGAGATTGAGAAGTCTTGCCCTGGGAGAGCCTGGCTGAGAGACCACACGGGCCACCTGACCACCCGACTTCTTGCACCCCATTTTTCTCCAGGCTACAGTGCCATGTGTGTTCAGGGCCAGCTGCTCCGTTTTGTGCTAAAGACAGTACAATTAAGAACCCTGTGCCATCAATAAGAACCACTGCAGTAATTAAGATAAACCTGTCAAGAAATAATTATCATATACTATAGTCCTGCATCTAGAAAGAGTTCCTGTTTTTTGAAGGCTGAATAGAGAGAAAATATCAGAGAAACAGATAGACGGTGGAAGGGTGGCTAGACAAGGTGTCCACATATTCCAGGACGGAAGTGGCTCATCTTGTCTCCTTTCGGCCCACCTTCCCCCACGGTAGAAAAGGGAGGACAGAGAGGGGATGGGCTAGGTGACTTACGAGTAGGATCCAGGGTAAAATTTCAGATGACCGCATTGACTGTATGCTTCTGGCTACAGCATCCCGGGAAGAAGATGTGCTTGGTGCTTTAAAATTTCATCAGCCTTGGTTAACCTCTGCCCACAGAGAATTGACTGCTCAGGAGGAGCCCATGTAGATGGGAGACAGAGCAAATCTCACTGCTGGATCAATCCATTTCTCCCATTCTCATTTCCAACTCTGTCCAAGATGAGCCCTGGCAGTATCTTTCCAGATCTGCCTTTAAACTTAACAGTGATGAAATTCGACAAAAGGTTGAAAGAAAACCTTGGATTCCATCCAGCCACAGCCTCGGGAACCAGGAAGAGCAGCCCTGGGAGTACCCTTAAGTGCTGCCGCTCAGGGAGCTTCAATCTTGGCTAAACCCTGGGCTGAGCACAGCTTGGATTCAGATGTTTTAACCACAGGGTCCTCCCCTGCTCCCATCTCAGGTCTTTGACTAAAACACAAAAGACCACATTCCCTGGAAATGATGGCAGCACATCTTATCAGCACTGCTGAGTTTTCCTCCAGTTTCTATAATACTTCTCTCTTGCAGTATTTCTGCAGCTCTTACAAACTAGGATGGAAGCATGCAAGGGGAAGGTCTCTGTGGTCCAGCTTTGTTCATTATTTAAAGGAAAATCTCCTGCACATCTGCTCTGTACTGGGTTGAGCACCAGGCACTGGGAATCCTGAAGAATTTGCCACAGCAACACAGGCATACTTGGGGGTTTCAAAGCCAGGCTCTGGAAAGCAAGAAACTGGGTTCAAATCTCAGCTCTGCTACAATCCTAGGTGAGCCAGTCTTTTTTTTTTTTTTAACCCGGATTGAACCCAATGGTACTTACCTATTGAGCTACATCCCCAGCTTTTTAAAAATATTTATTTATTTAAAGACAGGGTCTCACTGAGTTGCTTTAGGACCTTGCTAAGTTGCTGAGGCTGATTTTGAACTTGTGATCCTCCTGCCTCAGCCTACAGAGCCTCTGGGATTACAGACATGTGCCACCACGCCTGGAAGTCTTGCTAATCTCTACTTGCTTTCTCTGTAAGGGGAAAGTGATAACAGTTTTGACATGCTAGTGTGTTTATGAGGATACCATGAATTAATAAACAGACTGACATGCAGGGAGCACTCAATGTGGATGGCATTTTCACATATCCTATGGGCCAGACACCTCACTGTCTGCAAATTGCCTGTCATCCCCCATACTGAGGAACCCTCTCCTGCAAGCATTTTAGTGTCAGCTTCAAACTACCATAAAATCCAAAATGCACTCTCCTCTTACAGACTCCACAGGGGAAGGACCTTGAAGTAGCTCCTCGGTCTTACCCAAGAGAGCAGAGACAAGAAGTGACAGGGATCAGCTTCATGCTGGAGGGACAAGCTGATCTCTCCTGAGACTGAAATCACAAAGAAAATGCTGCATTCTTTCTCCCCAGACCAGCCAAACACAGGGGCAGGTCTTCCAGATGAACTCTGTCTTGCTGCCCATGTGATTTCCAGACTAAGGTAGAAATGAAGTGGGGCAAACTGTTCTACCAGGAGGAGCTTTGCAACGTGAATAGGAAGGGAAGACCACAGCACAGCTGTCGAAATGGCTTCTCCGCCTGGCCTGGGTGACCCGCTATTTCTACATGGCCGAATACAACTGTCAGGGGGCAAAAACCCCTTATTCCTATTGGAACAAGACATGGACTTGGAATGAGTTGTGGGGAATAAGCTTCACAGGAAATGAGGATTCATGACGTCAGTGGGCATATAATTTTGATGAAGGCAGCTTCTCTTTTTAAAAGCATGCTACATTTTATGTCTACCTGGGGGGAGCTTATAGTCCCTGGGAAATGTAGGAGCAACTCAAAACAAGAGGAAAGCTCCAGATGATCTCGCTTAGCTTGTTCTTTTGGAAAGAGAATACCCAAGCCTTTCATACCAGGGCCGGAAATCCTGCTTCTTCCCATTTTGTTAATTAACAAATGTTTCCCAGCCTTACACTCAACCAACAAGGGGGAAAAAAGTAAAATAGACAACAATCAATGACTAATCACACACTCTTCCCTATCTAGCATGATCTATGTATAAAATTGTTCAATGAAACTATGTTCAGTGTCATTAGCTGACAAATGCGTCTGTGGAACGTAGGGGTCCGCTGGAGTTGCCACGTTGCCTCCCTGCTAGTTCCTAAGCTTCTTAGAGGAGAACTACTTTCCTGCTTATTGCTATGTCACAACATACAGTGCCTGTGACGTCACACTCAACACTATTTGTTGAATGGATGGATAATGGATGGGTGGTCTGCCTGTGTGGGTGAATGAATGAATGAATGAAGGGTGACTGGAAGCTGTGACTTGGAGTCAAAGACAGAAGTAGAGCAAAACAGATTGGAGCAACAAAGTGATGACGGAAGGAAAACAGGTAGGCCATCTTGGTGGAGCAAGAGTACGTTCTGGAAAAGGCAGGTTAGAAAGATGGCTCCATGATGATGTTCGACAGACATTGCTCTGAGGACATTTCTTCTAATCCTATCATTAGAAGAAAACAGGAGTCAGCCAGTCACAGGCTGTCCCTTCAACGCCCACTGGAGGGGTGAAGGCTCTGGCATTGAAAGGGCCTGCTCTGCTCACCTGACCCATAGAGATACACAATAAGCACTTGTGCAGAGGGGTCCTCTTCCCTCGGCCTTGGCAGTGTTGCTGCCCCTCATAAGCACACACAGGAAGCCAGATTTCTGGGTTCTGATGCGAGCTTTCTAACTCATTCTGACATAGACAGAGGCTGCTGCACTAAAGCTGCCCAGGTTCTGTTAACGTTGCACAAGCGCTGACATGTTTCTCCAACAGGGTACCAAAACCCACTCAGAAACGTGAATGCCACCTGTTTCCATGCCACCACCCTCCTTCCAGAATATGGCAGGAAGGACAAATTGCACTGTCCACCAAATGGCCATCAGAGCACCCACGACTTTAAGCAATAGCAGTGGTGGTAGGAATTATTAGGAGGATGTCTTATTAGGGTACATTTGAGGTTCCCTCTTCTCAAATTTTTTTCTTACATATTTAAATTTTGACTTAAGTCTAACCTTTTAAGTTTTGAGCTCCAGCTAAAACATTAATGGATTACGAAGGATTCTGCACACAAGGTAGCGCTAGCACACCTGGAATCCGGTATGATCCACCTGTAGGCAACTTGGGAGGCCGAGGCAGAAGGATCTCAAGTTCACAGGCAGACTAGGAAACCTATTGAAACCCAGACTCAAAATACAAATTAAAAGGGGCTGGGGATGTAGCTCAGTGGTAGAGAGCCCTGGGTTCAAACCCCTGTACTAGGGGAGCAGGGCTGGGGTGGGGTGGAAGGGGTGGGGATAAGGACTCCGTCTTGAAGTCAGTCTTTCTTTTAAGTCCTTCTTGAACTGATTTTTTTTTTTTTTTTAATTCTGTTCCTGAATCTGTATCTGCTTCTATTCTTTCAGCCAGCACAGAGCATACCTGCTTGGTTTCTCCACTGAAGACTGACTTCTGCTTGGACCAGGAAGCTTGCTAGATCCATGATCCATTCTTTATCACCCATCTCTGCTTTCTGGGGCATCCTGGGCAAGAATTCCTCCACCTGGTGAACTTCAAGGACTAGCTGCATGCCACTTCCTCCTCTCCAGCTGGGTGCTCTCCTGCACTGTACCACCCTGTTAAGGTGGATTTTAAACTTGAGAGCAGACCTTCTAGCCTGAAAATGGACCTAGAAGATGCACATTTCCCCTGTGACTAAGATATACCTTCTACTTGTCTCACTAGTTTCACAACAACCGAGTCAGATTCTTGCAGATGGTGAAAACCAAGGCAATGACTGCCTCGCTTCAGTTGTTAACTCAGCGTCACCTCCATTCAGCCTCTTCCAGAGAGCCCCGAATTCACATCCGCTGCAGCATTACCTTCCCTAGCTCAAGACGGCTAATTATTTTAACCTCTCTCTGAATATCACAAAGTGGTTTTCATTTTTTTGTTTGGGGCTATGCTTCCATAGGGTTCTTACTATTCGTTGAATTCCATACCACTAGGCTTTTTGAAATGCCTGCTCTGGAAACTCAAGAGAGCTCACAAAGCAGACTTTGACTTATACACTGTCAATTTGCTTTGGAAGGTCATGTGGGAACTCTACATCCTTTGGGTCCATTTTCAGGCTAGAAAAACAGTGACTTGGCATAAATTCCTTCCAGAACAAGCACTGAAAACCTACCATCCCACCGTCTCTCTATGTGAACTGACATGTGCTTTTCAAAATGAGGGTCGTATTCTTTTGACAATACTTATCTGGGCTGTGCCCTTTAAATCTTCCCTTGTCTTTCCTTTCAGTTCTAGCTTGGTACCTGCTATTTATTTAGCCCCAAGATTCTTGGATGACTTCTGAATCTGAAATGCTCGGGATCTCTCTCGCGCTGTAGTCACTTTTATAAGACATAGATAATAGCATGTTTAGATGAGCCTCTCTGAAAACAGAGCCTCATTAAAACCGCCCCTTCTTCCTGCTCCCACCTGGCAGGGTTACTCAGGATTCTAAGCAATGTTTTAGGCTTCCTTTGGTGAAGGTGGGGATCGAACTAAGCAAACTTCACAGATCTCATTACAAATAATTTTAGGAATCCAGTATAGAGTTGGTAATATAATTTTGGTAATTTAGGCTGCCCATCAAAAGCATAGGGTCTTTTATTATTAAATATTTCCTCGTGGACTGAAAAAAAGCATCAGTTTAAGCAGCATTTGTTAATAGGTCCATTTGGATTATGTCTTTCTAAGAGATGTGTTATTTGATTCTAATTATATTTAATTTGCTAAAAAAGTAGATAATAATTTTCTTTTTTTTTCTGAAAAATCAGTCTTTCTCCCCAAACAGAACATGAAGACAATTCTGTAGTTTTAACTTGGGACTTGTGATATTTTGGCCCTATTCTCCTGGCACACCTACACATATATACATACATACACACACACACACACACACACACTCACAAACTTCCTTCCCTCTCTTGACTTTTTTTTTTTTCCTCAGCTGAAGATGGTTAACTAATAAGCACAGATGGGTCAATCCTACAGTTTTGGAACAGAAAGTCCATCAACCTTCACTTTTAACAAGGGTGAACAGGCTTGGTAACCCACCTAAG